TGCTTCGGGTGGAAAGACTTTTCAGTCTCCAAGCCATCACTCTGTTCCACATTAGGTTTTCACATTCATATTTCTCAACCAGCATTATCATCATTGTTTGTATTTTATATTCTATGTTTGTTGTTGTTATTTGTTTGTTTAGTTAGTAATAAATGTTTTGTGCGTACACAGTTGTTTCCTGTGTTTTCTATAACTTACATTCAGTCACTTTACGTATGTGATCTTTAGTTACCTAAGCTCTAAGTTAATTCCCTTAACTTTATAAAACACTCTTGACTGATCACTAAGAGTAAACAATTTATTAGAATTATTGTGCTGACTCTGAGATTATATCGGTGGACGACTGATTTAAAGGTTGGTATTAATAATTTTAATTCACGCAATCATTTGCTTTGGTGTGAAAATAAGTACATATTATTTTCCACACTAAAACCCTACAAAGCTCACTACTATGCAGCGAGAAAGGCAGGACGGTGGCCTATCTCTCCCAAACTTTACATTTTATAAATGGGCTTTCACACTGAGGCCTCCACTAACTTGGTTTCAATCTAATGCACAGGTGTCCTGGCGAGCTCTGGAGGAACGGAGGTTAGCCCCATAATCTTTTCCTAACTTTTTGCATTCTAATATTTCAATCCATCAATGCCATCTGAGATTTGGTCCCTTAATCTCATATTTGCTTTCAATATGGAGGAAGGCTAAGAAGTTGGCTGGTTGTTCTGCTGTGAGGGGCCCACATTTTCCAATATTTCACAATGACAATTTGTTGATTGGTGACCAACCCATTCATTTTCCTGATTGGGAAAGAAATCATATTTACACACCTGGTGATATTTATTATGCTTTTCAGGACATATGTGCTAAGTTTGGTACTCCACGTACCTCTTTTTTCTTTTATTTACAGTTGAGGTGGTCTTTGAAAGGCAGTGGCGTCCCTTTACAGAGCCCTCTCACACCACACCCTCGTCATAAATTATTCCACTCTACCAGAAGCACAAGTGGCTTTGTTTCAAGACTGTACGCATTCTTGCTGCAGCAGTCTTACAGACCCCTGGCATTAGACACGTGGAGGACAGACATTCTGGATCTGAATCCCACTCTTGAGTGGGATAAAGTATGGTTTAATGTGGGATTAGCGTCCAGAAATCCTGATCATCAGCAAATACATTACAACTATATACATAGGATATACAAAACTCCTAGGAAGCTCCATTTGATGAAGGTTATTAATAATCCTATATGTACTTTTTGTTCTTCAAAAGCCATTGGTAGTTTTTTTTTATATGTTCTGGGAGTGTCCTCCAGTGGCCAAGTTTTGGAAGATGGTTGCCATCAACCTCTCAAAGCTGTTTGTTTACCTGCTATACTCATCCTAAATGATCTGCCAAAATTTGGCTCAACCCTGGACAAGAGAAGAGCATTGCTAACTGGACTTACAGCTGGGAAAAATCAAGTCGCCACACGATGGAAACCTCCACCCTTACTCTCTTTCTGAGCATGGGCTCTGACGTATTTGGACATTGTATATTTGGAGTTGTCAACAGCCAGGATCCACGGAGCTAAAGACTCTGCAATAAAGACTTGGCACTCTCTTCTAATTAGCATTTGTGGGCTTCAGGTATAAGGTATGACTGAGGCTTGTACAGTCCCTGACAAAAGTCTTGTCGCTTGGGTACAAGTTGACCTTAAGTGCCCCTCAAATATATGTCTAATCAATTTTTTTTTTCAACAAATGGCTAATTTCAATCCCAACAGCTTTTGAAATAATATTTTGGTGCAAAAAAAAACGGCTGAAAAGCATTCTAACGTTCACAGCTTGGTAAAGCCCACTGAGTCAGTTTTTGCAAAGACAAAAGTCTTGTC